CAGTTGCCTCAGTTGAAGTTATTTCATGGGCTGAGACATCAAATGCAACTCTTCTCTTTCAAAGGACCTATTTTTACTGGAGTTCAGAAAAAAATCTTGGAGTTTATGACCTTTATTGTTTTGTTGTAGCTGTTGAGTTGGTTCCGACTCATAAAGACCCTATTTATGGCTTCCAAAGATGTAAATCTTTTAAGGGATTAGAAAGTCTCACTTTTCTCATATATGGTTTTATAGTACCATTATTTTTTTTAAGGACTCTGTTATAGATATAAAAGGCACATTAAAGCTGTGCATTAAGCCTTCTTTGCAACTCTACTACTCTTATTATTAGAGTCTTATAATATTATCAGCACAATTTTCCCTGCAGTGCCAGTAGATGAAAGTTTCCTTAGAAATTGCTATAGGAAGTCATCCAACCCTCACATTATAGCTTGCATTGGTGATTTTCTACCTGAACTTACTATTTTAATTAATTAAATCAAGTTCATTCAACAATCTTTTTTGTTATCAGTGTCAGTACGTCAGTTTTGACCAAAGTCATTGCAATGTTCAGTGCCTCATAGTTCACTTGGACCTCAACCCTAGTAGCCACAGTAATTTTGATACATTTGCATGCCAGGAGATAGTGCCATTTGTCTTAATATGAGTTAGTTTAAGTTTCCCAGAAAGCAGACTTTAAGACAAAGTTTTATGAACTATGGTGATTATTATCTCAGGGAGTGAGAGTGAACAAAAAAGGGGAGTAAGGTAGGAAATGAAGGAAAAGAAATTTTGCATAATCAAACTGCCCACCTCAATGGACAGATAATTGCTTGATCTCATGTTGTTGTTGTTGTCAGGTGCCATCGAGTCGGAACCGACTCATAGCGACCCCATGCACAGCAGAACGAAGCAATGTCCGATCCTGGGCCAACCTCACTACCACTGCCACACTTGAGTCCATCAATGATGCCACCTGGCCAATCCATCTCATTAGGGGTCTTCCTCTTTTTCTCTGACCTTCCACCTTACCCAGCATGACATGTTTCCTCCAGACAATTAGACGAAGCTTAGCCATCTTGGCCTCCAAGGAGCACTCTGGCTGCACTTCTTCCAAAATGAAGGAAAAGAAATTTTGCATAATCAAACTGCCCACCTCAATGTACAGATAATTGCTTGATCTCATAGAACTGTCTTAACCAAACCTGCATAGAATACATTTCAGGACAGGGTCCTAGAAAAGTAAGAGAGACAACATTATCCTTTAGTTTTCGAACAACAATTATCAAAGTAACCATACTGTTAATTTCCACATACTTTCATGTTAAATGTGTGTATATTGTATCACATGATGGTGATGAACATCAGCAGACTCCTCTGGGAGTCATATCATATCTCCCTAACTTTTTTTCCATGTGAACCATTTTTTCTAATGAAAAGATTTATTTAGCATGACCTTCATCTATATAGAGTATTAATATGTGATGAGATGACCATATCCTTGATTTGACCCTTGCTGTAAGGCTGAGATTAATTGACCTATTTCACTTCTGATGTTTAGAAGGACTAGTGTAGTTATTCTTAGGTGCCGTTGCATCAATTCTGACTCAGTGACCCTACACACAACAGAATGAAACACTACCTAGCTCTGAGCCACCCTCACAATTGTTACCTTTGATCACATTTCTACTACCAGTCCATCTCATTGAGGAACTTTCTCTTTTTCGCTGACCCTTCACTTTGCCAAGCATGATGTCCTTTTCCAGGGACAGATCCCTCCTGATAACATGTCATAAGTATGAAAGATGAAGTCTTGCCATGCTGGCTTCTAAGGAGCATTCTGACTGTACTTCCCACCCAGATTTATTTGTTTTTCTGACAGTGTATGGCACTTTAAATATTCTTCTCCAGCAATATAGCTCAAAATTATGGATTCTTCTACAGTCTTCCTTATTCACTGTCCAACTTTCACATGTGTATAAGGCAATTGAAGGAACTCTGGTAGCATAGTGTTTAGGAGTCAGGCTCCTCAAGGTTAGCAGTTAGAAACTACCAGCTGTTTCAAGGGAAAAAGATGAGGTTTTCTGCACCTTCCTTAGACTTAATTACTTCAGTAGCATTAGCTCTATATCATATGCTACCTCTTGAAATGGTTGAACATTGACCAGTTCTTTTTGGCATAGTGACTCTGTGTGCATCTTCCATCTTCTTTTCATGATTTCTGTGTCAATAATATTTTGCTCATTATTGTTTTTGTTAAGTGTCTTAGAGTCAGTTCTGAGTCATCATTCAATATTGCAAGTTGAGGCTTGAATGTTTTCTTTAGGTCTTTTAGCTTGAGAAATACTGAGTGTGTTTTTCCCTTTGGTTTTGTGGCTCCAGGTATTTGCAAATTTCATTATAATACTTGCCTTTTTCTTCTGGAGCTATCCTTTGAAATGTTCTGTTCAGCCCCTTATTTCTTCATTTCTTCCATTTGCTTTAGCATCTCTACACTCAAAAGCAAGTTTCAGAGTGTCTTCTCACATACATTTTTGGCTCTTCTTTCTTGTCTTTATAATGACCTTTTGCTTTCTTCCTGGTTGATGTTCTTGATATCATCCTACAACTCTTCTATTCTTTGTACTTAATGCATCAAATCTTTTTTTGAGATGGTTTCTAAATTCAGATGGGGTATGTTCAAAGTCATATTTTGGCCCCCACAGATTTTATAAAATTTTCTTGACCTCCAGTCTGAACTTGCATATGAGCAATTGATGGTCTATTCTGCAGTTGGTCCCTGCCTTGATTGGGCTGATGATACTGAGCTTTTCCACTGTTTTTTCTCATAAACATAGTTAGTTTGATTGTTGTGTATTCCATCTCATGAGGTCAACTGTATAGTCTCCTTTTATGTTGTTGAAAAAAATTGTTTGCAATGCATAAGTCATTGGTCTTGCAAAATTCTATCATATGATCCACAACATCATTTCTATCATGAAGAACGTATCTACCAAGTACTGATCCTTCTTCGTTTCCAATCTTTGACATTCAAATCACCTGTAATTAACAGTACATCCTGATTGCATGTTTGATCACTTTCACATTGAAGAAGTTGATAGAATTTTCAGTTTCAAGATCACTGACTTTACTAGTTTGTGCAGAAATTTAGATAGTTGTGGCACTAACTGGTCTTCCTTGGAGGCTTTTTGATATTACCTTATCACAGACAGTATTGTATTTCAAGAAAGATCTTGAAATGTTTTTTTTTTTTTTGATAATAAATGCAATACCATTCTTCTTCAAATTGTCATTCTAGGCATATTAAACCATGTGACTGTCAGATAGAAAGTGGCCTATGTTAGTTCATTTCACTAATGTCTAGGATATCAATCTTTACGTGTTTCATTTAATCTTTTACAACTTCCAATTTTCCTAGATTCAAACTTGGTACATTTGATGTTCTGATTTCTGCTGGATGTTTTTCAATCATTTCTCCTCATTGGAAGGAATTAAAGAAACAACAGGTTTGATGTTTTAACTCTGGAAGCCTCAAATTTCTTGACTCTTTTCTAATTTCTTTCATTCTTCTTTTCAAACAGATCATTCCTTTGTGACTTAAGTCTTATAGAACCTTGCTAAACACATCCAACAGCAACCAACTATACTAGAAGCATTCTGGTTCCATTGTTTTGTAATCTAAAATTTAATTTACTTCACTTCATTACTTATATAGTTTCCTTTCCCAACTATTACAGGTGACAATTTATTGTGCCAAACATGAACTGTTGTATTTCCAGTTTGCAATAACAGATTCTATTGCATCCATTGCCTAACTCTAAGGGCACTTGTAAATGTTAAAGTTTTAATATTTTTTACACATATTATTTTTTCCCAATACCTGTACAAATTTCCAATATTTATAAAAGACTTTGTTGTTGTTGAGTGTCGTCAAGTCGGTTCTGACTCATAGCCACTCTGTATAGGGTTACTGAGGAGCAGCTGTTGGATTTGAACTGCCCACCTTTTGGTTCGCAATTCAGTACTGATCCTACAGTGCCACACCAGGAGTCCCTTACAAAAGACGTTGCTGTTGTTGTTGTTAAGTGCCATCGAGTCGGTTCTGACCCATAGAAACTTTGTATAGGGTTTCTGAGGAGCAGCTGGTGAGCTTGAACCTCCGACCTTGTGGATCAAATCAACTTTGCAGTCCAGTGCATCAAACCATAGCACCACACCAAAATGCTATATTGGCAAATAATCCAAAACAAAGATTTGTTTATTTATTGTTAATACTAGATATCCATCTTGGGTCTGTTGATGATTCCATTGCCCTGGGCCATCTATTCAGAGGATCATCCGGAGATGAGTAGGTAGAAAGCACATATATAAAGCTTCTATCTGAAAGTGTTGTATGCCATGGCCACTCATGTTTCATTTGCCAGAAAAACTCACAAGACCAAGCCCAAATTCAAAGTCATGAAGAGGTATGACTCTCCCAGAAGGTGTGGAGGGGAGGCAGATATTGATCCACAGTTATGCAATATACAACAATGGTAAAAAGTTTCATTTTTCATACACTATTGTATATGTTTATGTGCCGACTCTAAGAGGCTCCCCCAAATCAATATAGCAGGAGACTAAAATAAAATAATGTAAGGAGGCAGCATCATTAGAATATAGTAAATGAAAAAAAAAAAACAAAAACAAAATGAAATAATAGAAAATGGTGACACATTGAAAAAAGTTAACTAGTGTGCAATTTGTGTAGAAATTGTCAAAGGGGAACTTAATTTGGTGTGTACACTTTCTCTGAAACACATTAAAGTTTTGAAAAAGATGAAAAGAAACACTCATCATTAAGACTCTCATTAAAAAACACATTACTGTTCATGAATAGATGAAAGCCTTATGAGACTCAGCTAAGATTTTCTTCCAAAATCAAAGTGGTACTAAGCCACAGTTTTAAAATCTTATATTCCTGTTGTTTATCTTTTACCTTGAAATAAAATATACCAATTATGCAAATATTGTCAAAAATTTCAAGGAAAAATTCTCTTCTTCAATCTGCTTAAGGCATCTTTGATTTCCTTGTTTCTCAGACTATAGATCAATGGATTTAACATGGGAATTACCATAGTGTATACAACAGAAGCCAGTTTGCTTTGACTAAGAGAATCATCAGAGCTAGGGCACAAATAAACAAAGGTGCCTGAACCATAGAAAAGAGTCACTGCTGTCAGGTGTGAAGCACAGGTGTTGAAAGCTTTGGACCTGCCTTCAGCTGAACTGATCTTCAAAATGGTGGCAATGATATAGCCATAAGATACCGTGATAATAAGGACAGCAGTCAGTCCATAGATCGCTGTGAGCACAGATGTTATAACTTGTAAGAAAAAGGTGTTAGAGCAGGATAACATCATCAGTTGGGGCAAGTCACAGATGAAATGGTTAATGACATTTGGCCCACAGAAATGGAGCTGAAGAAAACCACACAATTGGACAAGTGAGCCGAAGGTTCCAGTTATTAAAGATCCTACCAGTATCTGCAGACAGACACCAGGAGACATAATGACTGTGTAAAGTAGAGGACTGCAAATGGCAGCATAGCGATCATAAGCCATGGCGGCCAGAAGACAGCTCTCACTTAGACCAAAGCAAGAGAAGAAGAAGTACTGCACAGCACATCCCATAATGGAGATGGATTTCTGCTTTTGGAAGAAGTCTGAGAGCATCTTGGGAGTTGTGGAGGAAACATAGCACATATCTAAGAATGCAAGCTTATTCAGGAAGTAATACATGGGTGTGTGCAGGTGGGAGTCCATCTTGATCAGGACAATAAGACCCAGGTTCCAGAACACTGTCATGAGGTAGATCCCTAGGAATATTGAAAAGAGGAAGACTGTGAGCTTTGGAAATTCGGAGAATCCCACGAAGATGAACCAGGTAACTGTAGTGCTGTTTCTTTCTTCAGTTGTTGCCATGGTGCTCCTGAGATCTACAGAGAGAAAAAAAAAGAAATCTCTTGTTATCTCAGTATCCACAGGGTATTGAATTTAAATATTATGCATTCCTATAGCTTTAAGGCAAGGAGCTCTGGTAGCGTAGTGGTTACGAATCGGTCTGCAAACCTTAAGGTCAGTGGTTCGAAACTACCAGCCGCTCCGCGGGAGAAAGATGAGGCTTTCTACTCCTGTAAGGATTTACACACCCTTGGAAACCCTGTACAGGGTCGCTATGGGTCGGGACCGACTCGAAGGCACTTCACAACAACAACAACATAGCTTTAAGGCAACAATTAAACTGTCTGTGCTGGACTGCAAAGTCAGTTTGAACCACAAGGTTGGTGGTTCAAGCTCACCAGCCGCTCCTTGGAAACCCTATACAGGGTCGCTATGAGTTGGAACCAACTTGACGGCACTTAACAACAACAAAAAATACTTCTCTTTCTTAATCATATAGAAAGTTTTTATTAAAGTATAGTCTACATACTGTGGTTGCGAATCGGGTTGCGAACCGCAAGGTCAGCAATTCAAAACTACCATTTGTTCCGCGGGAGAAAGATAAGGCTTTCTGCTCCCGTTAAGATTTACAACCTCGGAAACCCTGTACAGGGTTGCTATGAGTCGGAACCGACTCCATGGCACATAACAACAACAACAACATACTGAATAGAACATCTATGTCATGTAAAGCTCCATCTCTGTTATTTAAAAAATAATATTGTATACTGGTGTGGTGCTGTGGGCTAATGCATCAGACTGCAAAGTCATTTGAACTGCAAGGTTGGTGGTTCAAGCTCACCAGCTGCTCCTTGGAAACCCTATACAGGGTTGTTATGGGTCGAAATCAACTCAACGACACTTAACAACAACAACAACAACAAACTAATTGTGGCTGTTGTTAGTAGCTATGAAACTCCAAGTTCTAACATATGAAGACCTATGTATAAAGAAAGAAACTTTGTTCAGTCCTTCACAATTTCCATGATCTTTGATTTATTTGAACATGTTGTTGAAGATAACTGCATCAATTCACTCATTAAAAGTTTCCCTCACTTCCAATGACCCTGTACTCTATAAACACAAGGTCCTTTTTTGGGATTAGGCTTTCTTGATAATGGGTCTAAGACATATAAGACGAAGTCTTTCTATTCTTGGTTCTAAGAAAGATTCCAGTTGTATTACTCCTAGGACTGATTTGTTCATTTTTCTTGAAGTCTATGGTATGTTCAATATTCTTTGCCAACACCACACTTCAAACACGTCAATTTGTCTTCTTTTGTCATCATCTTGCTTTTGCAAGCATATGACGTGATTGAAAAGTCCATGACTGAGCTAAGCCATACCTTTCTCACCAAGGTGGCATCTTGTCTTTTTCAAACTTTAGACAGATATTATTAAGCAGATTATATTAAAATAAACAATATATTAAAGATGTTATAATAAAATAGTAGATATGGAAACACCTTCCCCATTAATAGTGAATGAATTGAAATGGGAAGTAAAATGCAATCTGTGCAATAATTTTAAAAGAGAAAAGGGAAGCTGAACATTACATTGAGGTAATATGGAGGACTAGCTACCCAGACCATAAATTAAAAATACTGGAAAAATATTTTCACAATCTTCTCAAATGTGTGAATTTTGGTTTAAAGAAAAAAGTATCACTTAAAGGAAGTACTACGTAAAAATAGGATACAGTGATGTGGCAGAACAGTGAATGTGGCTTTAATATTGAAGATACTTGTCAAAAAATGAATGTTAGCATAATTTTTTGTTTGTTTGTTTTAGCTTCGTGTTGTTGTTAGGTGCCATTGAGTTGGTTCTGACTCATAGCAACTCTATGCACAACAGAAGAAAACACTGCCCTGTCCTGTGCCAACCTCACAATTGTTGTTACCCTTGAACCCATTGCTGATGCCACTGTGCCAATCCATTATCCTTGAGAGTTCTTCCTCTTTTTCCTTGACCCTCCACTTTACCAAGCATAATGATCTTCTCCAAGGACTGTTCCTTTCTGACAACATGTTCAAAGTAGGAGAGAGAAGTCTTGCCATTCTGGCTTCTAAGGAGCTTTTGGTTGTACTTCTTTCAGCACAGATTTGTTTGTTCTTCTGGAAGTCCATGGTACTTCAAAGTACTAAGGAATCTAGAATAAATCCCCAATCAAGGTGTAAAATCTAACAGAAGACCCCCACACCAAGCTGGGAGTCTCACAACTCCATACAATTATGTTATAAACATAAAGGTAAAAGATGAGATAATTTTCATCTCAAATAATTTCAAGGAAAGTTTTATTTGTAAGAGTGGTTTATAGAGTAGAGAGGAGTCCTGGTGTGGCTCTGTGGGTTAATGCCCCAGACTGCAAAGCTGTTTGAACTGCAAGGTCGGCAGTTCAGATTCACCAATCGCTCCTCAGAAACCCTATACAGGGTCGCTATGGGTTGGAACTGATTCGAAGGCTCTTAACAACAACAACATGGAGTAGAGAAGATGATGTTGTTTGAGTTTCCCAGGGAATCTGTAACTATAGGCCACTTAACACTGTTTTAAATTTCTGGTTCACACAGTCCAATTTCATACTTTGGTACCATAGTGGTCATGATTTGGGCTGCTAATCTCAAGGTCAGCAGTTCGAAACTACCAACTATTCCGAGGGAGAAAGATAAGGATTTCTGCTCCTGTAAAGATGGAGTCCTGATGTGGCACTGTGGGCAAATGCACTGGATTGCACAGTTTGAACGGCAAGGTCAGTGGTTCAAGCTCACCAGCTGCTCCTTGGAAACCCTATACAGGGTTGCTATGGGTCGGAAACGACTCAACGTCACTTAATAACAACAACAAGCATAGCATGCCTGAAAGGTCTCAAAGAAGGAAATCAGTTTCAAGAGATCCTGCACTGATAAAAAACCAGGGCATTTCAACAAATCCCTGATCAGGTTTTTTACAGTTCTGGTATGAAAGAAGAACCTTGTGGAACATTGTAAATCAATTCACAGTTTTGTTTAAGAAAGTATTGCTGTGGAGTATATGATTCATGGATTACATAGTGTGCCTACTGCTATGTCATTGTTCAGTCTCATTGAGTCAGTTCAACTCATAAAAAACGTAGATAGGGTTTTCAAGGAGCAGCTGGTGGATTTGAGATGCCAACCTTGTGGTTAACAGTGCAGTGCTCATCCTACAGGTTTTTCCAATTCTGCTATGAAATAAGAAACTTGTGATACATTTAAAATCAACTCACAATTTTGTTTAAGAAAGTATTGGTGTGAACTACATGATACATAAACTCAATAGAGTGCCAACTACTATGATTGATTTACATTCTGGGCAATCTTTTCATCTTGTTAAAAAACAAAAACAAAAAGGTAACTAGAAAAGCCATAAGTTATGGAGTTTAAGAAACACAGATCTGTCATTCAGGCTGCATACAAATACCTGAAGAAATGATCATGGTCATTAGAGAGATGCAAATCAAAACAATAATGAGATATCTTTAAATACCAGTAAAAGAGAAACCAAGAAATGTTGGCAAGGGTGTAGTGAGATTGGAATTCTCACAGTTCTGGTGGGATTGTAAAATGGTACAACCATTGTGAAAAATGGTATGGTGCGTCCCTAAAAATTTAGAAATAGAAACCACATAATCCAGAAATCCCACTATTAGGTATATCTCCTACAGATACAAGGTCATGACATGAAATCTACTCCCATGTTCATCACAACACAATCCATAATAGCAAAAAGATGGAAACAACATAAGTGCCCAACAATGCATAAACGGATATACACCGTATGGTACATGTCAACAATGGCATACTACACAATGGTAAAGAATGACCAGGAAACATCTCATAACAGGGGTGAATCTGGAGGACATTATGCTAAGTGGAAAAAGTCAATCACAAAAGGACAGATATTGTATGAGACCACGACTATAAGAAGTAAAGAAAAGGTTTATGCACAGAAAGAAACATTCTTTGCTTGTTACTAGTGAAGAGATGGGTAGGGAGGGAAAAATCACTACTAGAGAGCTGTTGTTGTTAAGTGTCATTGAGTCACATTGAGTCAGTTCTGATACAAAGCGACCCTGTATAGGGTTTCCAAGAAGAGAATGGTAAGCTTGAACTGCTGACCTTGCAGTTCAAATGTCTTTGCCATCTGGCACATTAACCCACAGCACCACACAGTAGACACATATTAATTTGGGTGAAGGGGAAGGCAATATACCATAAGGAGCAGGTCAGCATATGTTATCAAGAAAGGCACTGGATTAAAAAAATCAATGTGCCACAATCAGCTAGATGGCAGCAAACAGAAAATACACCTTTTAGAGTAGCATAAAAAATGTGAAGTATCTAGGAATTAATCTAAAAAACTTATGCAAAATATTTGTGGTGGATGTTTTATAACTTAATTAAAAGATATTAAAAACAATCAATTGAAGAGATACTTCATGGTCTTGTCTAGGGATTTGAGTATAAATATGATTATTTTCTCTAAATTATCCATAGATTCAATACAATTTAACTCAAAATCTCAATAGTTGTTTTCTAAAGTGGAAATTGATATACTTTTCTCATGAAAAATTAAAGGACACAAATACCAAAAAATCTAAAGAACAGGATGATGGGACCTCAAATGAGGGAGCCTCACCTTACTTAATATCAAAGGTCATTACAAAGCAATAATAATTAAGATAGAGTGCTAATGGAGCAAGGAAGAAAATGGCTAATGGAACAGAACAGAAAAGCCAGAAATAGGTCTGCACACATGTAGGGTTTACTTACCACAGTGCTGGCATTACAGATCCATCAGAGTAGCAGACGTTCCAATGAATTCTGCTGACTTACGACAGCACTTTCCATTTCAACTTTGTTCTGAGGAAGTAGTACAATGAACTGTATGAAGTATCCAAAAATTAAAAGCTGTTCTGTGTTGTGCATGAAACTTTGTTATTGTTGTTGATTCCAACTTATAGC